TAAAGGAAGCGACATTAGAAACTTTTAGAATATGAAATACTCATCAGGGCCGGTTTATTATGAAACATATTGATCTGTCATCTCAGTAAAATTTTGAGATCAAAATTTTCAGCTGCTTCACTGAAAGGGGGGTTGTGAAGTGATTTAAATTACAATTATTTAAATGATTTATAAATGTATCATTTAAGTAGGCTGGATTAGTGTGGGATTAAAGACTTTTACTTCTTAAAAATAAAATAAAATAGCATAAAAAAGGAGACCTTTCAGTGGCTGTTGTTATATAACATGTCGATTTGACCATTTTGAATTTGTAAACCAGCCCAGCTGGAGCCCACCTATTGCCCATGCTTGGTCTAGCCCATCTACTGCCCACATGACTCATGTGGGCAGTACATGGGTCCCAGCAACAGAGCCCACCTTGAGCCCAAGCCCAGCTGAAGCCCATCTAGCCCAAGTGAGGCCCATATGGGCCCCACCTGGACGTGTTTGCTGGGTACAGGCAGCTTATTTGACTGAATTGATTTGATGACCTACTACAATGATGATTTAAGTTATTGTAGGTTATATTATATCATTTCATATCTATGTTTAAATTAAAGATATGATTGATATTTTTAAATGCAGCAAATAAATAATCTAAAAATATATAAAATTTTGGGGAAAATGTAAATGAAAATATTTTAAAGCAATAAGTACAGTAAAAACAGTAAATAAACTAAGTTGATTTGAAATCAACTTTAATTCAGATAAGTTAAGTGATAACTGAGAGAAAACGTATGACACAATGAGAATATTAAAATAAAAATGCAACAGCTTAAAAGTTCCTATTCCTTTTAGACTGCTCTAAAATTTTTGAAAATTTTAATGATGAATGCAATGAGGCAATTTTTTTTAGAGGATGCATCATGTTGACAGATACGTTAGTAAACACAGTTCAGTGTATCAGATAGTTGGAAACAAATCCTGTATCGGTCATATGACTTTCTTGAAACAGTCACCGGTAGTATTGCCACCAATAATATTGCCAATTTCAAAGTCCCATGAACCAAAAATCAATTTGACACACCTGGCCAAAAGTCAGAACCAAGCTCAAAACATTTGACACACTTTTGAATGGCTGCATCGGCTGGATAGTTATGAGAACTACATTTGAGCCGGTATCTAAGTGTCTGCAATAATTTGTTACTGAACTCTTTTGTTACTTAATAACAGTATTGATAATGATTAAAGATATATATATATGTATATTTTTTTATTCCTCCCTTGTTAAATTTGTATGTGATTAACATCCCTTCTGTTGCATAACAGCTTGAGGCAAGCCTTTTGTTTTTTGTATTAGCGGAATGTTGCATAATTATACCGTATAAAATCATATTTTAGGAGGTTCTTGACAGAATATTAAGAATCTAGGAGGAGTATGTGCTTCTGCGAGGATGGTGGTTGTGTTACTTAAATTGTAAAAGAGTGAAAGTTGTTCACTTTTTTTATTATTAAAAAAAATGTTTTGGTTTTAATCTCGTCTTCTTGGGCCTTATAAGGCTTTAAAGGATTAGTCCGGTCAGCAAGGAATAATCAATGGATCATTATTTATACCAAGAACTAAAGACGGGCATAAACTGTGCGATTTAAAGCAGCAATTTTCCCAACTCCAGCAGCTGCTGCGTTTTGCAGCACGTCTCGCACATCAGATGGTCAGACACACTGCTTCTGCTGCTCAAAACGCGCTGCAGGACCTTTTTTTGCGCCAAGATGTGCATCAACCTTTTGCTTCTGCTGCCTCTGCTGCTTGCGGGGTGAACATAGCATTATAGTCTCTGTAACCAAGTTAACGATTAATCAATTACTAAATTAGCTGACAATAATTTCAATAATCGATCATTCGATCAATCTGAATGGTGTAATAGCTCAAGACATGGAGGAAAGTCAAACATCAGTGATAGATAGCAGTAATTACCTCTGGGGTAAAACACAGGAGACAATAGTGATGAATCATTCTCTTAGCTTGCCTTTCAATGAGAATTTTGATTACTAATTAAATTTAAGGCAAATTTTCAAGGACTTCTGTGACAAAGTATGAAGGATAAAAACTGGGAAGATTTAACTGGAACAGACAGATTGATTAAGACAGTTTAGAGGAAAAAATCTCCAGCAAAATTGGGCCGAGTGTAACTAATCTTCTGCCTAGGCCAACCGGGGGTTTGAGAAGACAAAGTCAGATACAATAAATAAACACAGAAGCACAACCTGGGAAAGGAGAGGGTTATTCTTTCACTTGCATTTATCAGCTTTGGTTTTGTCTTTTTATCCAGATTTCCCACAAAATTGTGTGTGCAAAGAAGAGGAGGATTCCACTGAGCTCTGCCACCAGGAGGGGAACTCCACATCTGTAAAAGAAGAACCAGAGCCTATGCAGATAAAACAGGAGCAAGAGAATTGCAAATATCAAGAGTTCAAAGAGGAAGAGAAGCAGCAATCAATCTGCCCTTCATTCTGCATCAGTCAGGAGGAAGAGCAGGTTGTGCTAAAAGAGGAGACTGAATACATTTTGGTGAATCCTCCTTATGTGCAAAAAAACAGCAATGAAAGGAACCCAAACAGGGACCAGCTTATCTCACATGGCTACTCTGAAGAACATCAGGATCAGGAAGGAAACAGTTCTGAAAACCAAGGAAGAGACAAAGAGCAGAAACAAAATGAGGGGGGCCAGAAAACTGAAGAGCAGAAAGGCACTTCTGACAGTTCAAATCCAAACACACCCAAAATAAGTCACTCAGCGGAGAATGGTATATATATATATGTATATTTTTTTATTCCTC